GGCTTTATTTACAGTACCACACATGAGTTGTGTCCCATTGAGTGAGCTTTTAGTCCAATTAGGTAGCTGTTCATTGCTCCCAAGATAAAAGTGCCACCACTGCACCAAGGTTGTTGGTTGTTTAGTCTTGAAGTTGGGGTTAGACCATTGATTGGTGTTCTCCTTTAGCACCTTGCATAGTGCTTTCCAAAGCTCTGAGAGCTAGCCTTCAGGGGAAGTGGCTTCCAGGTCAGTTCCAGCTCTACTGCTCCAAATCCTGTGTCCAAAGTATGTTCTGTCTTCAGCAGTAGGGTCTTAACTTCAAGTTCTTGGAGGCGATCAAGGGTTGTGGCAATAGCCTGAGTAATTTTGGGAGTCTCTTGGACCACCCTGGCCAAGAACTCAAAGGAAGTTTTCTCCTGTCTGGCACTGTTTCTCCCTATGTAGCCTTTAGCTATATGCATGGACTCATGTAGAGGTACATTGACCCTTTTAATCTTTGGTTATACTTTCATTTTGGGTGTTTAAGACGACTGTTAGACTAATATGATTCCCTCTGGTTTTTTTAAAACTAGCTCTCTCTCTCTCTCTCTCTCTCTCTCTCTCTCTCTCTGTCTAACCCTTCTTTTATAATGCCTTTCTTTATAAATTTTAGTTCCTCTTCCCAACCTTACAGAGTAATTCATGTAGCTTTCTCGTGTACTAACTGTTGAAGAGTTTTCACTCTGAGGCACAATTCCTTTCAACAACACTAACATGGTGGTTAGATAAGCCCCCTGATATCATCAGTTCCGTCCATCCTTGATTATACATATACATACATTGCAAAGTAACCTGAGTTTCTTGGAATTGTCAACATCTGAGGATGGTAAAATTTGGAAATAAAGAGTATCTAGCTACAAATGACAGGAACATCAAGGTTTAGAAATTGGTTGTTACTAAATTGTCCCAATACTGGTAAAATCTCAATTGTAAAAACAAACTATGAGAAATGAGAAGAGTGATGATTTGTTGAAGCAGCAATAGGATTCTGTTAAGTGATTGCATATTCACCGAAGATTTACTGTACAGGTGTGCATTCTGGCTGTATCTAGACAGAGGTCACTCTGTCTCGAGTATATATGTATTCTGTATGCTGGTGACCTTCCCTTTAATTTTGATAATAACTCATTCCAGCACCAAATTTGTTGGGTTTATCAGAATCTCATATATTGTGCGATGTTAGTCTGTTGTGTTCTAACTGCATCCTTTATTATGCATATGATATGCACTTGAAGAAACAGACCCTCAAAGAGACAGAAATCTGATTACAGTAACTATGAACCTGGAAAGAAAAAAGAATTGGCCTCTCAAAACACCATTACTTACACCTTTTAAATGATAAAAAGAAAAGGACCATATATGCAGTTTTGTCTCTGAGCAAAGAATGGGTCGATATGCACACAGCCCATTAAGGGTCTTGCACACAGTTAACTGTCTATGATCTTTAGGTTCTTTATCATTGACAAAAATTTTATGTTGGCTTACGAGAGAACATACTTTGAATACAGATTTCCTATGCTGTAATATTGAGTCTATCTGTTGCCTGCTGTGGGATTTTAATCAAAGTACTATACCGTTAGTGTCCTACTTTGACTTTGTATTACATGCCCTGTATGATGGCTGTAAGGATAGCTAAATGAATATAGGAAAAGTACATATAACCCAGTAGTCCCCCCTGTCCAAAGAGGATCCATTCCAAGATCCCAACTAGATGCCTGAAACTATGCCTGAAAAGTCTGCTTTTCCTATAAGTATGTACCAATGCAAAGATGAAATTTACAAAGAAGTCACATTAAGACTTATGAGCAATTGCGATAATAATGAAATAAAGCCCCTACAACAAGACACTGCAATTAAACTTACTTAAGTGTATATATTACTATTACTAGAATATCCATTTAGTAATTTTGGTCTATTATTATCTGGGCATGATATAAACCATGGAAAGTGAGACAGCCAATACAGGGAACTAATGAAAAATGGACTTGCTCTGGTTTGAATGTAGAATGTCCTCCACAGACTTATGAACACTTGATCCCCAGTTGAATAACTTTTGGCAGGGGTCATGGAAAACTGCAGTATGAAGCCTAACTAGAGAATGTGGATCTCTAGAAGAAAGGCTGTGAAGTGTGGAGCCTAGCCCCATGACTTATGCCATCTCTACTTACTGATCTATCTAGATGTGAGCACAGAAGCTTCACACTTTCAAACCAATAGTCACGAACAATCTCCATGGCCTTTGCTTCCCCATCATGATGGACATATGCCCAAACCATGAAACAAAAGAAAGCCTTCGTCCCTTAATTTGTTCGTCAGATATGTGGTCACAGCAACAAGAAAATAACTCATACTGTATACATACATAGTTAAATTTATTGTTATCCATTTCGTTTTCTAATTGCTCTAATTTAAAATAATAACAAA